GAAAAAAATTATCTTGAATATTATATTATAAATTAAAAAGTAGTAAAACAATGAATCTTCTCTGAAATACAATGTAAATAATAATTTATTGAGATAAGCAAAGATTTCTTAACCAGAAGACATAAAGCAGTCATCATAAAGAAAAATTCCAATAAACTGTAACACATTAAAATTAGGAAATTCTTCATCACAGCCCATTATATGGGAACTTCTTACCCTTCACAGTGATAATTCACCTAATCCTATTTATGCAGCACTCAGAAAACTGCTTTTGCTTTTGTGAATGAGTACTATTTCGATTAATGAAACTAAATTCATAAAACTCATGAGAGGTTCAAATAATAATGATTTGTAATATTTTTAATAACTACCGGGAACTCAACAAAGAGTCAAATAAAACAAAGATTTTGAATTTAATACATAAAGCAGCACTGTTTACATTCACATTTGAAAATGCAGTTTTACTTCTGATGTTAAATCCTGCTAATAATACTCACTTATCATTGGTGACTAAAAACAGCAGCCAGTCGTGAAGTACCCTGTTAAGTAGGCATGAACAAAGCCAGCTAAAATAAGAGTAGTGGCCAAGAGCTGCTCTCTTGAGACTAGCGAAAATAAGCCATCTGATGCAACAAAAATAACCTGAAAGATACACAGTAATAACCCTGTTCTTCTATACACAGTAATAATCCTGTTCCACCATTTATTTTTCTATGTATTTTTCCACCACTGGTCTGTCAGTTTGTCATACTTAGGTGGCATGTGTGTTACTATGATGCTGGAAGTTCTGCCACTTGTATTTCAAATAACAGCAGGGTTACCCATAGTGGACAGGTTTCAGTGGAGCTTCCAGACTATGAAAGACTAGGAAGAAAGGTCTGGCAATCTACTTCCAAAAATTACCCAATGAAAACCCTATGGATCACAAGAGAATATTATCCAATAGAGTGCGGGAAGATGAGCCCCCTAGGTTGGAAGGCACTTAAAATATACAGTGGCTGCAACAATGGACTAAAGCATACCAACAACTGTGAAGATGGCACAGGACCGGGCAACATTTCGTCATGTTGTGCGTGGGGTCGCTGTGAGTTGGAGCTGACTCAACAGCAACTAACAACTACAACCACCACCATTTATTCAAACAGTAACAACTCAGTTTGCTCAGCCAACTTTCTCTACCTGGGGAAAAACAGCTACACATACATCATCTTACTTACTCAAAAGCCTCCTTAGATCAAAGAAACAGGGGAAAAGAGTGAAATAAAGATAGCATTAGCTTTCCAGAGAGCACAAGTTATAAAAAGGAGGGGGGGATTACATGGCTATATTTTTTTAAATTCAATTTATCTATTTCATGTTTGTAATTAAAAAATTTATATATGTAAAGAATTATTTCCAGTAAAAGATTAAGACTTTTTAATATAAGCTGAGAACTACCATAATTTTATGTATTCTGTCTATAGCAATACAATCTCATATATAGAAGGAAATTAAATTAGTACATTTAGTCATGCATTCTTTCAAGGTCCTTATCTTCAAACTTCTACAAATTAATGAAAATTGTATAAAGGGTTAATACAGTCTACCTCTCCTTCTCCACCCATGTCAAACATCAAAGACAACACAAATTTACCTTTAATTTACTATGTAAAGGACAATGTGTATTGTAAACTATTAAACACTTCACCTTTGCAGCAAGCAGTAGTCCAATTTCATCAGCCTCAGCCTCCAATGTCCTACTGTATGGTCTAGCAAACATAAACTGAGAAGAAACAGGAAAGAAAAGGTCCATTAAAGCAGTTTATTTCATAACAAAAGTGGTAACAAAATGAGATTTATTTTTATTAATTTCATGGATACCTAGGATAAAGTTTTTATATTCTCTATGATTAACATTTAAAGAACACCATGGTATAAAACAAAGCACAGCCTTTACTTCCGCCATCAGAGATTCATACTTTAATAAGATGGAAAGAACAGAAAAAAAACATGCCTACAAACTTCTGGATAATCTGTAGTATCATAAATAGTTTCCTTTCATTTTTCCAATTACAATCTCCACCTACTATGTACTATGTTTGCCTAATAAATTTTATTGATGCAGGCTTTTAATACAACCAAGGAACATTTTGATCTTGCAGTTTTAAAAGAAAATTGAAAATTAGAAGTATATAATAGCCAGTGACACTACTGGAGGATTTATTTTGGTTAGAAAATCAACCATATAGCAGAAAGTTATTTCTTTGATAAATTATCTTAATTTCTTCCCTTTTTCCCTACTAAATATTGACTAGTTAGGAAAATGAAATTTTCTTATGACTTCAATGAAAAAAATACAAATAGACATTGTAACTTTAATTTTCCTAATTACTTCTATTTATGTGAATACTTTCCAGTTAAATTCTAATTTTCAGTAACTACTAAAACTTCGTAGGCAATGGATCAATAGGGAAGACCTCTGAGAAAAGAGCTACTAATTGGAGAAGCAATTTTTCAAAGGTAGCTACCTACATGTCAGTGATAGCCAAAAACAATATAATCAATCTGATCCACGATATATGAGCATTAGATATTACCTCCTTCCTTCTTAATCACATCTGGTTTAGGCTGGTGAAGTATAATATATAGTGTCTGTATTCTCCATGAGCAGTGTGCAGATGTCCTATCAAGTCTACTGATAATCCACTGACTTAAAAAACATGGGCTTTAAAAGAAGAGAAACTTAACCATAGTCTCGTGGGACAACTCAGTCAACCAGCATAAAACACAGTTCGTAAAGATAATGTTCTACATCCTAGTTTGGTGAGCAGCATATGGGATCTTAAAAGCTTGGTCTCTACTCATCTGGAGCAAAAGAGAATGAAGGAAACCAAAGACTCAAAGAAGAAACTAGTCCATAGGATGAACAGCCCACACGAACCACAGCCTTTTCTAGCCTGAGACCAAAAAGAAGTAGATGGTGCCTGGCTACCACTACCAACCATTCCAACCAGGGACACAATAGAAGGTCCCAGACAGAATGTGAGAAAAGTACAGAACGAAATTCAAATTCCTAAAAAAGGCCAGACTTACTGGACTGACAGAGACTAGAGGAACCCCTGAGACTATCGTCTGAAGACACACTTGGGACACGGATCTGAAGCCACTCGTAGAGGTCACCTTTCAGCCAAAAACAGACTGGCTTATAAAATAAACAATATCACCCCTGAGTAATGTGCTCCTTTAAACAATTAACTATATGAGATCAAACAGTCAACATTTACCCAAAGCAAAGATGAGAAGGTAAGGAGGGACAGGGAAGCTAGATTAATGGAAACAGAACAAACAGAATGGAAATAATGAGAATGCTGACACATTGTGAAAACTGTAACCAATGTCACAGAACAATCTGTATAAAAATTGTTAAATGGGAACCTACTTTGCTGTGTAAACCTTCACATAAAACACAATGTTTAAAAAAAAAGAGAAGAGAAACTTAGGTTCAAGTCCAAATGCTGACACTTTTTAACTGTTAACCTTGAGCTAACTGCTTAAACTCTCTAAGCCCCATTAGCCTCGTATGTAAAATGGAACTAGTAACAGTATAAACCTCCTAGGTTTGCAGAGAGGATTAAATGAACAAATAATAGTAATAACTCATATGACTTATTTTGTACCAGGTACTGTACTGTGCTAAATGCTTTAAATCAGTGGCTCTCAACCAGGTATGATTTTGTCTCCCACGGGATATTTGGAAACATTTGGAGACATTTTTGATTGTCACTGCTGGGGGAGGGAGTGCTACAGGCATCTAGTGGGTAGAAGCCAAGGATACTACTAAACACTCTACAATGCAAACGACAGCCCCTCAAAGCAAAGAGTATCCAGTCTAAAATATTAATAGTGCTAAGGTTGAGAAAGCTTGCTTTAAATGTATCATTTAACCCTTAAAACAAGACTTGGAGTCAGCCAGTATTATTATCCCAATTCTACAGATGAAGAAAATGAGGCCTATAGAGATGAAGTCACCTGCCCAAGTTCTGCAAAATTTAGGTCTAGTGGAGTCTAAACTCAAACACAGGTCCATCTGATCAGAGTCTGTATTCTTAACCTCTATATATAATAAATCTGTGGTGTTCATCCTAGTGTTCAGCACATGGTAAGCACGCAATAAATAATAACTACTAAATGTTAGCTATTACCAGTAGCTTTCAAAACCCTACCAGTTGGAACACTATGAGGGCTGCACCATACCCAAATCTTTCAAATTACAAAAATAACAACCCCAACGGTGAAGTGAGGGTCCGTAGCTGCTGTACTCTCTTCCTTCCTCTGGCAAATGACTGTCAGCAATTCCCTTTCCTATTGACTTCACAGTCAGCATTCCCTTCTGCCATTCAATCGCAGAGCTAGGCTTTCTAGACAGAAAAACAGCTCCTTGTCACCAAAATTACTGGAGGCGGAAGGGAGAGGAGAGGCTTGATTTTTGGGAAAGGAGTTCAAATATGAATAATTCCTACTTTATTTTCAGTTTACTATTAAATTGAATAATTATACTGAAGTGGAAGGGTTCATCAAGTATTTCAAGAATGAAAAAGAGCTATAAGTTATCTTTCTTATAACTAAATCTAATTCTATTACAGAAAAAGCAATCTATTGGCAGATGAGAAAAAAAAGATTACATTAACTCCTCTGACTTCTCAGCAGATCAGTGGCAAAAAAAAAAAACATTCAAAACATGAGATCCTATAACCTATGCAAGGAGCCCTGGTGGTGAAGTGGTTAAGTGCTCAGCTGCTAACGGAAAGGTTGGTGGTTCCAACCTACCAGCTGCTCCAAACCCACCAGCTGCTCCGAGGGAGAAACATAAGGCAGTCTGCTTCCATCAAGATTACAGCCTTGGAAACCCTATGAGGCATTTCTACTCTGTCCTATAGGGTCACTATGAGTTAGAACAGACTCAACAGCAACAAGTTTTGGTTGTAACTTAAGCAATATCCATTCTTTCTTTTTCCCTCTGAGAACCTTCACTTCAATATAAATGAAGACAAATGACAGGCAACACTGAATAAAAGACTTAGTTATCCAATTTCAAAAGCAATTTGTCTGAAAGAATTTTGCGCATTAGATTTAAACAGCACCCAGATGGCACTCTGATGGGTGTTCCACAAATCATCAAATAAACAAATAACAGATTGTTCCTAAACAACCAAACCTCCCAGGACAAGAGAAATATCTGAAGAAAAATATAAAATAAAATAACTGATCATGGTTAACAAAGCAATTATCAAGACTACAAGACTGACTTTCAGTAATGCAGTGTTTTCAACAAAATGAGAGACTCAATAGATTTTATGAGATGATTATCATACATAAGCACTAAAAATGAAAGTTAACAAAAACCTGGTAAGGCTGCCCTTTCAACATTTTCCACACACTGTTAGTTTAACTGGGAGTGAGAAAGAGGAGAGAGCGCTAAGGCAACTTCAGCCAACCAGGTACTCTTAAAACTTTACAAGAGTTCCCTGTCAAAATAAAAATATTTTAAGGAAAAAAGGTTCATTCAGTTAGTATACCAAAATTACTATGAGAAACAGAGGTGTAAAGTAGGAAGGTAAAGCGACAGAAGGAAAGGAAGTGTCGGTAATTGGATTTTCTCTCTGAAAGACTGATAACTATGCAAAAATATATATATATAATTATATTAACCCAAAAGCTGTAATGTAAGCCCTTGTAACCCATCTATATCTATTATTTGAGAGATGTAGTATTTCTTAATTTGAACGCTCATATATAAAAATATCTTCTAAAAATGAGAAAAACATAAGACTAAAATTAGTGTAAATATTTCATGATAAAATGTAAAAACACCTCTGGTTATTTGTTGCTTTAGAGTAATAATAAAGTATCTTCACCATTTAAGTTATTATCTCCGACTTACCTCCTGCAATTTAGACTGTATCCACTGGCCCAAAATTGCCAAACTATCTCGAGGACAAATGGCCCAAATCATTGTGAGAAAAATCAGACCTAGGAAATCCAATAAATGAACCAAGCTAGCCTTTTCTGCCTGAGAATAGCAAAAATAATGAAAAAGAAATTTAACAGATATAGAAAGTTTATGCTTACACTTTTTAGTTCATCAAGCGTAATCCCAATAAATAATTACATGCATTTAGCTGACCTTCACCAACTAAGATAGCAAGTTCTCTTTTTTTTCTGTATGTTATCCTTTCATGGTCTGTTTTCCCTTGCTTACTTACTTTATATCCATGCATTCATTTAACTAACATTTACTGAGCCACTTACTGTGAGTCCAATACAATTCATTAACCTATACTTTGTTATATTAACAAAGATAACAATCTTGTGAAATAAGAACAATTATCCCTATTTTATAGATAATGAAACTGAGATGGATAGAGGTTAAGAGAGTTGCCCAGATTCACACAGCTATTAGTAAAAGGCCCAGGAATCAAACCCAAGCAGTTCTAGTTTCTAACGTAGTTACTCTATCTGTATTAAAATCAAATAGACGTGTTTATTATGCTCATACTTTTGGATAAAAACTAAACACTACCAAACATATAAAGTAGTTAAAACATGGAACAACATTCAGATTCCATGTACTCCTCCATTCAGAGAAAGATCGGAATTTTATTTTAAATAAAAGTCTTTTGATCTTGATGACCCAATAAATGGAGTATGATTCATTTATACAAGTTTGCATTTTACAAGTCTAGTGTTTCACACCAGAGAATCAGGACCTATGAATTTTTGTATTTACTTACAGCAGTAACAAAAAAACTTACTTAAAATAATCATTTTGAGTAGTAATATATAAAAATAAGTTTAATTCACTGATCTGTTGTTTATCATTAAAGTTGATTAATAAATGTTAATGTAATACTGACACTAACAATATAGCAGTTATTACTTGAATCTGTGAAATACAGCTGAAGGCTGAAAAAAATCTAGAATACTTTTAACAATGTAACCTGCCCACGAAACATATTTTGCTTTATTATAAGAACAGCATGCCATGAAAAACAATCATGGAATTATTTTAGCATAAAAGAGTGAAACTATAACAATGAAGTCATTATAGAAGAGTAAATCCTTATTAGCATCTGTTAAAGAATATAATTGCTATTATACATTTTTAGATATTAGAAATAAACACACAAAAAAATCTGTATTTGTGGAATAGATAAAAGAAAACTACATAAAAGACAAAATGATTAAATCAAAATTGAGATTCCTACAAGGGAAAATATTATGTTGATGATGTCTAATACCTCTGCCAAAGAAATATTAGTAACTATTTTCTATTTTTTAGACTGTTATTTTCTTTTTATGTCTCATCTAATTATTGATCTCATACTGATGAGATGACAATATGCTGAATATGAGGTGCTAAATTAGATCCCAGAAAAACAAATGTATGGAATAGTAGCACCTTTTAAACGCTGAAATTAACTGATTTGCAGTTACGGAGCCATTACTTGAAATTAGAGTACATATAACGACATTATCTCAACTTCTTAGAAGATTTGTTCTTGGGTATATTTAAGAAAATTATATTTTAAATTTTCTTGTAACTCAAGAAATAAAAGGAATAATTACTATTTGTGTTTGGGAAAATCACAACTTTGGCCCACCTCATCTTATTAATACTCTAAGGAATTCTACCTAGAATTTGAGATGACCTTTAAAAGGGATTATTAACATCATCACTTCCATTTAAAGTTAATATTATTTGCATTTCTGATTTAGTATTTTGCAATCTCTTCATTATTTACCTTCCTGTTTTCAATTAGAAAAATAGACTTCTCTCTAATTATGTGGACATAAGAACCATTCATATTTTTTAATGAACAACAATAAAAATAATCTAGTCAGAAAATTAACTGTAAGAAAGTGGTATTACTATTTAAGTGAGTAAATCAGTTTTCTTGCTAAACAAACACATGTTGCTTTCCCGGACCCCTACCCAAGTCAAACCGATGTGTATTCACAAGGGCATAAATCAACCTTTATTCTATGATCTATAAGAAAAGGGCTGCCAACAATCAGGTAAATGTGGTAAAACAAACGCTGGACTTTTACACAGAACAGCTGGGCTAAAGTCTCAATTCTGCCACTACGTCACGCTGGTCATGTTAAAGTCTTTTTAAACATAATTTCCTCATATATAAAATACAGATAATAAATACACGTCTCATAAGGTTGGGATTAAAATTATGAATGAGAAGGTACATATTAAAAAGCTCAGTAAACCGTAAAATGGCAAGGGATCATTATCATCACTCTGCATTAATTATATATGGCACACGGTTCTAGACATTCTCAAAGAAGCTCCAAGCTATCCTTTGAGAATGAATAAAAAGGCAGGAAAACTGATTTACTCACTTAAATAGTAATATCACTTCCTTACAATTAATTTTCTGACTAGATCACAAGTATGTTATTAATTATGAAAAGTTTAAAATCTAATCTGAAACAATTACAGGTTGAGAATAATTACTTTTTAAGCAAAAGACAGGTGATAAAAACAGTATTTAAGAAAAACACTAATTATTCAGTATCAAATACTAAAAACCTGTAAAAATTCTCAAAATTGGTCAATCACATTAATTTAGGTAACAGACTAAGGCAATTTCTAAAAACTAAATTTCCATCATTTAAAAGAAGTTATGCTGAGTGAAATAAGACAATTACAAAAGGACAAACACTGTATGAGACCTCTACTGTAAAAACTCATGAAAAAGTTTACACACAAAAAGTAACAATCTTTGTTGGTTAAGAACGATGGGAGGGGTGGAGGGGAAATATTCAATAGGCAATAGATAATTGGTATCTTCGGTGAAGGGTGAGACAGTACACAACACTGGGGAAACCAGCACAACTGGTAAAAGGAAAGGCCATGGAAGCTCCATAGACACATCCAAACTCCCTGAGGGACCAAATTGCTGGGTGGAGGGTTGTGGGGACCACAGCCTTGGGGAACATCTAGCTCATTTGGCATAACACAGTTTATAAAAAAAAAGTTCTACATTTCTACCTTGCTGAATAGTGTCCTGGGGTCTTAAAAGCCTGTGAGCAGCCATCTAAGATACTTCACTGGTCTCACCCCTTCGGGAGCAAGGGAGAATGAAGAGAACAGGATACAAGGAAAAGATTAGTCCAAAGGACTAATGGACCACAGCTACCAAGGCCTCCACCAGACTGAGTCCAGTACAGCTAGATGGTGCCCAGCTACCACCACTGACTGCTCTGACCGGGATCACAACAGAGGGTTCTGGACAGAGCTGGAGAAGGATGTAGAACAAAATTCTAACACACACACAAAAAAAGACCAGATTTACTAGCCTGAAAGAGACTGGAGAAACCCCGAGAGTACGGCCCCCAGACACCTTTTTAGCTCAGTGGTGAAGTTACTTCCGAGGTTCACCGTTCAGCCGGGGATTGGACAGCCCCATAAAACAAAATGGGACTAATGAGGGAGGCACAGCGGTCCAGGGACAAGGACTAGAAGGCAGAAGGGGACAGGAAAGCTGGTGATAGGGAACCCAAGACTGAGTAAGGGCAGTGTTGACATGAAGCAGGGTTATTAACCATTGTCATAGGGCAACATGTGTACAACTGTTCAATGAGCAACTATTTTGTTCTGTAAACCTTCATCTAAAGTGAGAACAGCAGCACAACTGGAAGAACGTAATCGATGTCACTGAACTGTTCATGTAGAAATTTTTGAAATGGTATAACTTTGGCTATGTATATTTTCACCAAAAAAAAAAAAGGTCCCCCAAGGTCGAGAAGGGAGAGCGTTGACATGTCGTGGGGTTGTTAACCAATATCATAAAACGATATGTGTACTGACTGTTTAATGAGAAACTATTTGTTCTGTAAACCTTCACCTAGAGTACAATAAAAAAAAGCTAAATAAAGAAAGAAAGAAAAGAAGAAAACTGAAAAGACTTAGTTCTTTAAAAGATTTAACTTGCTAACTTCAGAATATTATTTCAACAACTGAACATTTATTTTAGGTACTTACAGCATGCCCAAGTACTGCATGAGCTATTTCATGGCCCAGAAGGAAGGAAAGTTGATGAATATCAGTTACACTATTTAGAAGCCCAGTGAAAACAAACACCTGTCCATTCTGCGCCATAAAGAAAATAACATAAGCAATTAGAACACCATAAAAAATAAGGACATTAAATTTAACAACAAAATTAGTTTGAGAACATTTACTTACTGGAAGCACAAAAGCATTTATATCTGGAGAATCAACCACATGAAAAACCCAACTGATCTCAGAGATCCCTGGGATATCTTTATTGCACTCAATTAGATGACAAACCACTTCTTTAACAGTCAGGTATCTTGCGTCTTTCTCAGTTAGCATATCATTTTTAAATTCTTCCATGCACTAAAAGAGTAAAAAGTATTCTTTATTTTAAAAGCATTTTAGCTCTACAAAATTGTTTATATTGCTTCACGGAGAGTTATATGGCTACTTAATGTTGAACGTTTTAATTTTTAATTATGTAAAAATCGACAAATATTAAACACTTTAATTTCTCAAATTTGAATTATTCACGCAAAAGGCAATGAGGTTTCTCACAATGGAATAAATTTAAATAACTAAGATTATTCAAACAGACTGGTTGAAATAAAAATTTAGTTCGTCTTTTCCATTAGCCTATAAACAAACAAAATGCTTAAATACTCTTTCTACTTTGCTACATATTTTATAAAACAAAACAACACTAGAGAACATACAAGATTTCACGTAAGAAGTAAAACACACGAAAAAGCTATTTTCATAACCCACTAAATAGAAAAATATCCTATACTTAATAAGAAGATTAAATTTTAAAAGACAACATTTCATTAATTTTAAAGTGTTTTATTCACACAAATTGAAACCACTGAAATTTCAGAACTAGTGAGCATATTATTCTTTCTACTTGACGCTGATTAAAACTAGCCACCGTATGTTGTTGTTAGGTGCTGCCGAGTAAGTTCCAACTCACAGCAGCCCTATGGACAACAGCATCCATACGAAGACATTCTTTCTTGAGAAAAAGAGAGATCTTTTCTGGTATACCGAGAAAATTTAAGATGTTCCGAAAACACTAATTTTCATAAAATGCATAATTTCTTTCACATATCAATCAACAAATCTGTAACCTTATTCCCTGAGGGTGCATTAAAAGAACATATTTTGTAAAGCATGAATTTGAAATACGCTTTTTATTAAATAACGTTACTATATATAATTAGTACTTTATAATATCCCCATAAGAACATACATTTGACTTCTCATATCAAACAGGTTTTATACATTTGTAGGTTAAAAAAGAAAAAAACTACATACATTTATGTGTACACACACACACACACACACATACACACAATTTAAACTCCTTAGCGATATGAATGCTAAAGATATACGAATTTAACACCAGGCCTATCTCAACCTTTCCAAAATACTTTCCTCAAACTTGCCTCTGACTTTATTCTTTTTTAACTGTACTTTAGATGACAGTTTACAGAACAAATAGTTTCTCATTAACAATGATTAACAACCCCGTGACATGTCAATACTGTCTCTTCTCAACCTTGGGTTCCTTATTACCAGCTTTCCTGTACCCTCCTGCCTTCTAGTCCTTGTCCCTGGACTATTGTGCCCCATTAGTCTCGTTTTGTTTTATGGAGCTATCTAATCTTTGGCTAAACGGTGAGCCATGGGAGTGACTTCATTACTGAGCTAAAAGGGTGTCCAGGGACCATACTTTTGGGGTTTCTCCTGTCTCTGTCAGGCTAGTAAGTCTGGTCTTTTTTTTTGTGAGTTAGAATTTTGTTCTACATTTTTCTCCAGCTCTGTCCGGTACACTCTGTTGGGCTCCCAGTCAAAGCAGTCAGTAGTGGTAGCTGGGCAACACCTAGTTGTACTGGACTCTGTCAGGTGGAGGCCATGGTAGTTGTGGTCCATTAGTCCTTTGGACTAATCTTTTCCTTGTATCCTGTTCTCTTCATTCTCCCTTGCTCCCAAAGTGGTGAGACCAGTGAAGTATCTTAGATGGCTCCTCGCAGGCTTTTAAGACCCCAGACACTACTTACCAAGGTAGAAATGTAGAACATTTTCTTTATAAACTGTGTTATGCCAAATGAGCTAGATGTTCCCCAAGACTATTGTCCCCACAACCCTCCACCCAGCAATTTGGTCCCTCAGGAAGTTTGGATGTGTCTACGGAGCTTCCGTGACCTTTCCTTGTACCAGATGTGCTGGTTTCCCCAGTATTGTGTACTGTCTCACCCTTTACCAAAG